AAGGCAGCAGACTGTTGGGCAAAACAGGCTGCCCAGAGACCAGGATTTGTGCAGTTGCACTAATATCAGAAGAACCTATTGATTCCCTTCCTCCTTTATATGATGGTAGAGACAGATTAGAAGCAGGTAGTATATGGGAAAAAGGCTGGTGGGTAGTAAATAACAAAGTACAGCTGCCTAGATAGTTAGTTTGGCCAATAGTGAGAAGAGTTCACCAGGCTACCCATGCAGATCCAAGAGTGATGAAAAGATAGTTAGAGAAACGTTACAGAGTTGAGAATGTGAGAAGACTGTGTAAGACAGTAATGGATCAGTGCGAAGTATGTCAGAGGAATAATCCTAAAGGGGGAGCCAAAACCCCACAAGGACATATCAGAATCACCTGTTATCCAGGAGAGGCCTGCCAAGTTGATTTTACAGAAATGCCTAAGAAAGGAGCAAAGAATAACCTTTTGGTTTTAATTGACATGTTCACTGGATGGCCGGAAGCCATACCCACTGCTACCCAAACAGCTAAAGAAGTCATCAAGATCATGATAGAAATAATTATTCCAAGATTTGGAGTACCAAGAAGTATTGAATCTGACAATGGCAGACATTTTACATCCCAAGTTGTCCAGTGGGTTAGTAAATACTTAAGAATCAACTGGTACCTTCACTCCAACTACAGGCCTGAAGCCTCAGGTCAATCAGAACACTTTAACAAAACATTGAAGACCCATTTAGCCAAGTTATGCCAAGAGACCCATCTGCCTTGGGTTTCTTGGTTTTGCCCATTGCTTTAACTAGAATCAGGGCATTACCTCAAGGACAGTGGAAACCTTTGAAATGCTCTATGGTAGACCTTTCTCATCCCAGTCAATATCAAGGGATGAAGGAGAAATAAATATAACCCAATATTTGCAGAAACTGGCCCAGGTTTTGTCTCATATTTCCAAATAGATACAAGTCGCTTTACCACTTGTGACAACAGCGCCACCGTGTGTCCAACCTGGAGAGTGGGTTCGAGTGAAAGAACTCTTCCCAAATGCAACCAGTGCCAAGTGATCAGATCCTCGCCAGGTTCTTCTCAGCACAACCACAGCTGCTAAAGTCGAAGGCATCAAGGTGTGGATCCCTGTTTCCAGATTGAAGACAATCCCAGCGCCCCAGTGGGAGTGTCAACCTATCACTGATTTGAAGCTACGTTTGCAATGTGAAATCAGATGACAACTCATCCTGTCAAAAGTGTATAAAAACCACTTGTACAGGAACTAAAATTACTAAAACTCTGGTTTATCATTCTGATTACATATGTCAGGGAACAAAATCTACCTGCATATATAACCAGACACAATATGCCACCTATTCCAGAAACAACCAAGTGGTGTGTCACACTCCAAAGGGAGTGAGGTACATTTCTAGGGCATGGGTATATGCATATCTTGGGAAAAATTATGGCAAACCATTGGCTTATAATCACACGATGTTTGACCAAAGTCCAGAAATGTCTCTTTGTTTTGACCAGTGGTTCTCAACCTGTGAGTCGTGACCCTTTTGGGGGTTGTACGAGCCTTTCACAGGGGTCGCCTAAGACCATCAGAAACACATATTTCCGATGGTCTTAGGCAGGGCTTGTCAACTGCCTTCTCTCCCTCCCCTCCTCCGCTTCACCTCACTTGATTGTGGAAAATATGCTGCTTGGCGGCAGTCTGCACAAACTCTACCAAATGTGCCCTGCAGGGGGCGCATGAAGAGCGCAGGCGCAGAGCAAGGCCCTGCCCTCCCCAGAGACTCATTGTGCAGCAACCGGATTGATTTCTTCTCGTGCACACAGGTCAGTGAAGGGGAGGCCGCTGCAGCGCCCAACTCCTTCACCCGTCAGCTGGCGATCCCCGAACTTGCGCTTGTCAGCCGGGAGGTCTGGCGATGGCCGCCGGTCTCCTTTGCCACCCCGCCCATCCTTGACTCCTCCTCCGCCCGTTCATGTCGAGCCCGCCAGGACTTGACAGGGAGAGAGGGAGGGAAGGAGGAAGGGACTCCTCCTCCTCTCCTAAGCTTCAAAGCACGATCAGCTTCCCAAGGGCGCCACAATCCTCACAAAAGTGGGGGGGGGATAAGCAAAGGGGGCAAGAAAGCTCACGGTGGGCTCGAAGGAGCACCTGCCAGCGTTGGTGATGAGAAATTCCCCACAAACCCAGGGAAGGAGTGGAGAAAAGGAGCCCCCTTTGGGAGGAAACCACCACCTTCTTCTCCTTGGCTTTCTGCTTTTCTGTTTCTTGGCAGCCGGGCTGGCAAGCCTCTCCTGGCTGGAACTTCCTTTCCTTCCCTCCCTCTTGGTCTCTTCCTCATTCCCTCCCTCTCTCCCCTTGTCCCTTCCTTCCTTCCTTCTTTCCTTCCTTCCTTCCTTTCCTTCACCTCCCTCTTTGTCCCTCCTTCTCTCCCTCTCTCCCCTTGTCCCTCCCTCCCTCCCTCCTCCCTCCCTTCCTTCTTTCGCTTCCCTCTTTGTCCCTCCTTCCTTCCCTCTTTCCCCTTGTCCCTTCTGCCCTTCCTTCCTTCCCTCTTGTCCAGGATCGGGGCAAACCTCTACAGCTGATCCACGCTTTTGCAGAGCAGCCAAGAAGCAGGTCAGCTGTAGCAACTCTCCTTGGCTCCTGCCCAGCAAACTTGCTCCAGCTTTGCTAGCTTTCTAATTTAGCAGAAGCGCGAATCAGCTGCAGCCCGGTGTTGATCCTGGGGCTTCTGCTAACTTAGCAAGTGGCATGTTTTCTGGTGAAGCTGAGCAAGTGAGCTGGGCGGAGCTCTCCTCTGCTTCTGGCAGCCTGTCCCCCTCCCCTTGTCCCTTCCTGGGCATGGAGGAGGGGAGGAAGGAAGGGACGAAGAGGAAGGGAAGTAAGGGACAATGAGAGAGGGAAGGAAGGAAGGAACAATGGAAGGGAGGGAAGGAAGGAAGGAAGGGACAAAGAGGGAAGGAAGGAAGGAAGGAAGGAAGGAAGGAAGGAAGGAAGGAAGGAAGGAAGGAAGGAAGGAAGGAAAGAAGGAAGGGACAATGGGAGAGAGGGAGGGAAGGAGGAAGAGACTAAGGGAGGTGAAGGAAAGGAAGGAAAGAAGGAAGGGACAATGGGAGAGAGGGAGGGAAGGAGCAAGAGACTAAGAAGGAGGTAAAGGAAAGGAAGGAAAGAAGGAAGGGACAATGGGAAAGAGGGAGGGAAGGAGGAAGAGACTAAGCGAGGTGAAGAAAAGGAAGAAAAGAAGGAAAGAAGGGACAATGGGAGAGGGAGGGAAGGAGGAAGAGATTAAGAAGGAGGTGAAGGAAAGGAAGGAAAGAAGGGACAATGGGAGAGGGAGGGAAGGAGGAAGAGACTAAGAAGGAGGTGAAGGAAATGAAGAAAAGAAGGAAGGAAGGGACAAGGGAAGGAAGGCAGGCACCCACCCCAGTCCCATCCCAGAGACCCACAGATTCCCCCCCACAGGCACTCTGCAACCTGAGTGATCAGCTGGCCACGCCCCCTGGCCATTGATCATGTGACCCTGGGACACTGTGAACGTCATAAGTATGAATCAGTTGTCAAGCATCCAAATGTAAATCACATGACCCTGGGGATGCTGCAACAATCATAAGTGTGAAAAATGATCATAATTCACTTTTTCAGCGCTGTTGTAACTTCAAACAGTCACTAAGTGAATTGTTGTAAGTCGAGGACTACCTATACTTTCCCATTTTTTCCTCTTTTTTTTTGGTCAAGTTTTTGATATCCCCCGGCCAGCTGGATGGGGGGTTGGGGGTCACCACAACATGAGGAACTGTATTAAAGGGTCGCGGCATTAGGAAGGTTGAGAACCACTGGTTTTGACGCTTGTAAAACAAAAGACCAAGGACAAGGACCAAATGGTAACTATGGAATCCACTGTGGTTCCTTGGATTGGGAAAGATCAATTGTTGCTAGCACAATTTCTGGCATGACTGCTATAGCCACAGGAAAGCAAGATAAACCATCCAAAGTTCTAACCCTGATGCCACTACCTGAAGAATATGTGCTACTAGTTTAAAATAGAAAGCATTCTATTTTCCTAAAAAGGGAGGAAATGTAGAGATCAAGCCAAGTATAATCTTTCACAATCAATCTCTCATGTATAACAGCTATTGTCCATTTATTTTTGCTTGCTTTCTGTATGTGCTCCATTGTATTCTAAATTGTGCTGACCAAAGAAAATGTTTCTGTTACTTTAAACTGTGTTGTTTCAAGGGAAAGCCTAGTTAAGAAATTGCAACACTTCTCTTCTCTCTCTCTCTCCCCCCCCCCCATTGTAAAACTTTCCCTTCTTGTTTCTCTGCTGTGGCTTTAAAATGTAACAGCTTTCTAAGGCCTGCAAAGTAACAAAGTTAATGGGCTAATTGCCAGCTATTGTGCTATTGTGTGTTCAAGCTTAAAGATGCAGAAGTGTAACGCCAGGATAGACAAAGAGATTCAAAGGAACTTTTTAGATGCCCAGAAACCTTGTGAGGTTTGTTGGTTATAAAAAGCAAAACCTTTTCTGATGACGTGCTCTCTGCTCTCCATGTTCTCTGCTATCTAAAGGAGAGTGGAGTGTCCAGCATATATTCTTTGATCGATCCAAAGAAAATAAAGCTGTGTTCTGATCCAGAGGCCTCGTGTTCAGAGTCTTATTGCAATTTATTTGGATTCTGAGCTGAAAAACCTTACAATCACATGACCATGGGGATGCTGCAAAAGTTGTAACTGAAAAAGGTCGTAAGTCACCTTTTTCAATGCTTTTGTAACCTTGAACGGTCATTAAATGAACTGTTGGAAGTCAAGGACTACCTGTATTTTAATTTAATGGCCCCACATTTTTCTCTGATGGAACAAGCAAAACAGGCCCCACAATACAGAGGAAAAAAAATTCCCAAACTCCAGAATCTTTGGATTCATGTAAAGTTCTTCTCTGTTAATGCTTGCAGAATTACTACAGTTTGATGTTTTTGTTCAGAATTTTAAATTTGAATTAGGGATACTCACTGTGAATTGCCAAAGTCCTCCAATGACATCATTTTTTTCAAAGCAGGTGGGTTCTAGTCCTTCCTCTAGGCAGCACTTGATAGAGACCAGCCCGCTCACTCCTGCCCCAATAATTGCCACTTTTCGTCCCATAGCTTGGTGTCAGAGTAGAGGCTTTTCTGAAGAGGCACCTAGAAAGTTGCACTGGTATTAATTCACACTCTATTATCTGCTGGACACAAAGTACAAAGGTTATAATTCTGTAGCTATACTTTTACTATTTCCTTGTGAAGTTGCATAAGCAGGAAGCATTTCTCTCTCCCTTAAGCAGGGCTTTTTTTCCCCTCATAGAACGCCCAGAACGGAGTTCCGGCACCTTTTTTGGATGGAACGTTATAGGGTAGGCAAGGCGGGGTTGTATGATGTGTGTGAGTTCCAGCACCTTTTTTTAATAGAAAAAAAGCACTGCCCTTAAGTATATATATTTGCCAGCAAGTACCTGTTAGTTTGGTAAATTCAAGCACTGTTTATATTATATATTGGAATACAAATCACTGTTCTTTTCTCAGGGAGGCCCTCTTGCCTCCTTAAACAACATTCCTGAACAACATTCTTCTATACAGTGTCAGAGATACTCATAATAATGCCAAGAATAAATATGGAGAATACAGGGACTCCAGATTCTATTGGTTATTGGGGTGGAAGTGTTCAGTCATGAAAAAAGCAAAGTAAAAATAAAAAAAGTGAATGGTGCTACAATATAGCATTTTAAATCAAGTTAACCAAAATGGTTGCATTGCCAGATCATACTATTTTTATTTTTAAACCACTGGTTATTGAATATGTCAACACTTGCTGTTTTGGCACAGCTTTCCAAATTCCATAATATGATTGGTATTTTGTCTTACTATGGCAGTTTTAATTCTTTATTTCTAGAGAAGGAGGAGCTGTACTGAAGGTGAAAGTCCACAGTAAAAGCAGGATCAATGGCAGTGAATGTAGTTTGTCAGGACTGAGTTGTTACTACGGAGAAACTCAAAAGGTAACCAAGAATCACAGGAACTTCATCACATGATATAACAATAATAGAGTTTGAAGGCACCTCAGAGGTCATCTAGTCCAACCCCCTGCACTTGAAAGAAACCTGTACTACTCGTGGAAGATGTGCACTCCTAAGCATTAGTCTTTCTCCTATTCCTGTGTATTCTCTGCAAGCATCAGTTTTCTCTGGGGATAAAGCCAGCACTTAGTAGATTCTGGATTATTTTCCTTTACCTGGAGGAACATTGCACAGTTCAGCCTCAGCTTGAATTGAGAACTGTGCCTTGATTATTTCTTGTGGGCCTCAGTTCAATAGTTCTTCTCCTTCTTCGAGGATTTGTCAGAGGAAGGCATGACAGTTCTAGATGAGCCACATCAAACAAATTATGTTTTACTTAGCATGATGTGTCAACTAACCTGAGAGGTATTTGATATGCTCCAAGATAGAGAGCGGTTTCTTTAGCTTTGCTTCTAATACAGTAATTCCACAAGCAAAGCAGTACAAGTTCCTTCTTTTGTACATTTCTCTGCCTTTTTGAGTAGAGGAGTTCATAATGAAACTGCAGCAAGCACATTTCGAGAAAGGCAAACCAAATTACATACACCAGTCTACACGCACCTGTGCACATTTAGAACTATGGTGAACTTATTTTGAATTTTGCAAAATAAAATAAAAAAGAATCAGGAAAGGGTGGTGCTAAAAAATGCAGAATTTATTTCTCAGCAGAACATTTCCCTTCCCTAAGCAACTATAGAATGGTTAAATATTTTGTATTTAATTTGTAGAGATTAAATACTGACCATGAAGTAAATTGCAGACTATCACAAATATTCTGTCTTGCACAAAAACAATTTGGACTCATTTTTGTTTCTTCTACAACAAACTGCGATTTTTATTTTTTTGCAACTCTGCCTTTCTTTTTACAAACAAACTCTCCTTTTCTCGGCTGCCAAAATATGCAGAGATGCAGCGTATGGACTTGTTTTCAATACAGTATTGCAGCTAAAATCTAGAGTGTAGGGAAAATGCTTCTTGCCTCTCAAAACCAGTTGAAAGAGTATATAAAACTCTCATGTGGATTTGTCCTAGGGCTAAAGTACATTTTTGTCCTACGGCTAAAGGAGAGGTCCCCAATCTTTTGGGCACCAGGGACCAGTTCCGTGGAGAGAGGTTTTTCCATGTACCAGAGGGAGCATAGTTTTGCATGCTGTCTGCATCCTGTGGATGGGACTTTGATTGTTTGTGCAGACCGGTTGCTGGCATGCTGCGGCCCAGTACTGGTCCATGGACCGGGGTTTGGGGACCCTTGGGCTAAAGTATGTTTTTCCCATAACTTATTTCTGAAGTTGCTTTCTGAGCATACTTTTTTCAAATAAAAGCATATTCATATGATACTATTTCTTGTTTTTATAACAGTTTGAGCTCATTTATTTTGTTTCCTAAAATGTTTTTGCCCACCTCCTTCTGTGATCACAAGGGTATCTTTAAATGCATTCTGCAGGATAATCTGTGCAATATTCATGGAACTGAGTTGTTGATTAATAAACATTTGCAGAACTTGCCTGTGCAAATTTATCTGTCTTTGGGCAAAAATGTTTTGGACATGAGATTTAATCACAAGCACAGGCCAAACAAAGGAACAAGAGTTAAAATTTGTTGTCGCAACTGTGGTTAAGAAACAAAAACATTCCAGATTTCTTTCTCTGCAGCAGCATGAATGCAGCATTTCTAAAAGTTAAACTGTGGAGGAGGAGCTAAGGAGGAAAAGAGAAATCACTTGTATTTATGCTGTCCAAAGGACTTTGACTCATCTGGCAGGAATTAACAACAGAAAGAAAGAGAGGAAAAGAAATTGTGTGTGTGGGAGTGGTAGAGAAGACAGTGAAAATGTTCCCTCCAGTAGCTGCTTTCACAGAGCATTTTTTTTGGGTGGGGGGAAAGAAAATTATTGTACCTACTTTAAATAGATGTGATAACCGAGACGAATGTTTTCTCCTTTTCTCTTTAATCAGCAAACTTTACTGTGAACAGCAGACTCTTCTCATAAAGCTTTATAGAAGGCAGCATTGCACAATCCACCACAGTTGTGGGGGAAAGTTTGTGGAGAGGTTTATTAAATTTTGCAGTGTTTCCATTAATCCCAAACTCTCATTTTAATAGGAAGCACTTTGTACCTGCTTCATCTTTCTCCTCTTCAACGTTACTTTAAAACAAATGTTTTAAATATTTTTTAAAAATACTACAAATACTTTAAAACAAATGTCTGCATAAAGAGTTTTACTGGTGTATTTACATAATTGTTTTTCCCTTTGAGAACTGCACAAATCATAACTTGCATTTGACTTGTAACCACCCCAAAGAGAGATATGATTCATGCTTTTCTCTTGCAAATGTTTTCAGCAGGCTGATATTATCTGACTAGCATCAGTGGGCTTATTTGCAAGGCTTAGATGCTGAATGCTCCAGATATTGTGACACCTAGAAAAGGTTGAAATGGTGCATGAGAGATAAGTAATCATCCTTAGTTTTTCCAATGGTTTTGTTTCCAGGGCAAGTCCCAGATTATGAACATTTCACACAAAGAAGGACAAATTAGTGGGATTCTGTAGTGTTGGGATTAAATCTGAGCCTTTGTTCCCAATCCAGAACCATTGTCTCCAGACACCTCCAGACCATCTACTGTACACATTCTTTTTCTTGGTCCAAGGTTGTGATATTCAACTGGATATTATCTGTTTATTGATGATACAAATTAACTTCATATTAATGCTAAATAAGGGTGTCAGAGTTGACCTCTATGGTACAACACAATGGAAGACTTTTGATACAACCTCTCTTCTGCTCCCCAAAATTTCCCCCTCAAACAGGAACATTACTATAAAACAGTGTCTCCCATTCCTCCATGGACCAGAAAGTTAGTTTGATAGATGTGATTACCACTATTCTTTATTATATGTTGAAGTTATCAAAATCTACAGAGAAATCCAGTAAGTCCATGAGAGTTGCACTACCCATGTTTGAAGATCATCCACAAGTATTGTGGTCTCCCAGTAATATTTTCTTGCTGATTTTTTTTCCATTGTATTGAGAGAGAACAAGCAATTTTCTTCTTGTAGATCACCATTTGCTCATGGACTTTTGCACCCACTAGGCTTCCTACCTAATGTCTTAAAAATTATTTAGTTCCTTTTCCTTTAAAAAAGGAGGTGGCACAGAAAGCCTCATTTACAGAAGTATTGATAGGCCTCATAACCAATATGCATTTAAAGATTGCAAAGAACCAGCACAATATATTTACAGGAAAATGAAAACATGCTTTCATCATAGTGAAATGTTTCTGCTTGGAGAGCTTATGGGAAGGGACAGAATGTACCATTCTGATTGTATTTCCAGATGTCTCTTCCTGCAATTGTTGGATAGCTCCTATGTTCACGGTATATATCGCTAGTGCTTGACTTACTACAGTTCATTTAATGAATGTCTATGGAGATTCTCAGTCATTTAGGTCATGGTTGTCCCAAAGATGCTTTTTTGAAAAGCAACTGGATTTTCTTTGTTTTTCCTTGAAGACATTTTGCTTCTCATCCAAGAAGCTTTTTTTAGTTCTGACTCAATGATGGAAGGATTTATATTCCTTGTTGTCATCTGGTCTTTAGCACTCTGAAGGTCAATCATTAGCTTTCTGAAAATCATTCAGGCCACTTGGGGGGTTAATCTGTGCCCTCAGGATCACCTGAATCAGAGTGAAAATGGGTGTGTGAAACTTTCTTGGAACTGCTGAAAGGACTGTGTGGAAAACAGGAGATACCAGTAGGTGGTATCTTATCTCTCCTCCTCTGTTGAGAGAGGGCTGTTCAATTTTAACACAGATGCCCTCTTTTACCCCTCTTTCAACCTAGTGGTTCTCTGTTCAGAATGTGGACTTTGCTGTCTTCAAAAGAGTGGCCTTTGTCTTTCAAATGCAAATGAACTACTGAATCTTGTCCTGATGAATTTGTTCTCCTATGTTCTACCATGCCTTTGTGAAGTGATTGTTTTGTTTCTCCAATGTACAGATCTGCACATGTCTCATTGCATTGTATTTCATATATCATATGCTGGTCCAGTATATAGCTAGCTTAGGAAACTGTGTGTAGAGCAAGTAGCATTTTAAGGGTTAAAGTGCTGCCCCCTTAAGAGTGGCCTTCTGGGAAATGTAGTTTAGTTGTTACATTGTTATATCTGTGTTCTTATTAGCCACTGGGGGGGGGGGGGTCTTATGTCTTTTATTACGGGACATCCTGTTATGTGCCAGTTTTATTATCTCTCTCCATGAATCCTAGCCACGAGGCTGGGAGCTCCATAGAACGGGGAAAATGTAACCAGAGCAGCATGTGAGATTTATGAAGATGGAGGAAAATTATTCTCTTTTTACCTGCATGAATGGACAGAATATGAATCATGTGACAGATGTATCTACAATAACTGTGAGTTAATGTTTAGGATTCCTGATCAATAAATATTTTGCATGTTACCATTCCGTGGAGTTATTCTATCTGGATTG